AAGTTTTTTTAAAAAAAATACTAATTTCTTTTAAAATCAGAACCAAAATGAATATATGGGAGTATATACTAATGAATCTAGCCTGTATTATATTTACCTTTATACTAGTTTAATAGTAAAATACTTTTTTTAGTACTATACACACACACACACACACACACACACAACTTTAAGGCCATTCCCCTGCTAGCCCCAGCCTCTTACCTGGCCACAGGCCTGGCTTCGGTTTCTGTGTCTCCCAGTCTCTTGTCTCTCTGGCGTCTTCCTGTTGTTTACTATAGAAGATAGGAGCCCTGCTCTGTCTCAAGCCAGGAGCTCCCCCAGAGGGAGAGGAAGGTATGAGGGGGCCTCTGTGTAGGCTCCCCTCCATAGGACAGACAAAGGACCAAAGGCCAGGCAACCCTGCAGCTTAGAAACCACAGCCTCCCCATAGCCTCTGACTCTTGGTTGTCAGCATCTGTCTGGAAGAGCTGGGGACCCATCTCTCCCTTCCTGGGTGAGACCAAGCCACCCCCACTTCGCTGCTTCCTTCCCTCTGGCTCCTTGTCTCCTGTTGGTGCCGTAGCTGCTCTTTTTCCCCTTGCCTCTGAAGAGCATCACCAGGGATGTGATGGAGGCTGAGGTAATGTGAAAGATAGTGACATCTGGAACTTGGCTAATGGGCTCCCTCAAATTTGCCCCTATGGTGCATAGATGCCTACCTCTCTGCCAATGTGAAACGTGAGAAGGCCACCCTTCCTTTTGAGCTGATGAGCCCATAATACTTAGAATCTCACTGCAGCCCCGAACCTGTGAATAAGGCCACTAGCATTGAGGATTGTCTCCACACTGCCTGTCCATTGGAAATACCTGGGAGATACGTTAAAGAGACCAACACTGGCCCCGCAGCTGACCATTTGCATGTGACTCTTAGGAGAGAGTCCTGGCCTCCTGCATGTTTTCAAAGCCCTCAAAGACTTTGGTGTGCACTGAATTTGAGACTCCTAGAGCTGTAGACTATGCCTACCAGCCAGTCTAAGCTGGATCATGGCCCCTTCCCTCCAGGAGCCCCTGGAAATGGGGCGATGTCTGGGTTATCATGTCGGGTAGCACTCCTGGCATGCTATGAGCCAAGCATACCAAACATCCAGCTTGCAAACCTTCCCTTGGGAATCCTCATCTTAGCTCTGTGAGGAGGCATCTCCATTCCTGCCTTACTGAGGAGGCAACAGGCTCAGACACTGGAGTGGCATCCAGATACTTAGAGATGTGAATCTAACTTTAACCCTGACCTGCTGGTTTCAGGCTATCTTCTGTTCTTAGGGAGATAATTATTTTTTTAATTTTTTAAAACTACATTTTATTTTGTATGCATGTGTTTGTGTGTATGTGTGCAGGTATGTGCCATAGTGCATGCAAGTTGGCCAGAGGACAACATGGAGGAGTTAATATCTCCTTCTACCATGTGGGTCCTGGGTCTTGAACTCGGGTCATCAGATTTGGCAGCAGGGGTTTTACCCGCTGAGCCATCTCACTCACCAGACATAATTATTTCTTGATGTCTTAAGATACTTTATTGTGGGGGCTGGAGAGATGGCTCGGCGATTAAGAGCACTGACTGCTCTTGCAGAGGACCTGGGTTCGATTCCCAGCACCCACATGGCAGCTACGAATTGTCCTTAACTCCAGTTCCAGGGGAATCCGAGGCTTTCTTCTGACCTCTGCAGCACTGCATGACACGGGCACACTCGCATGCAGGCAATACACTCATACACATAAAAATAATAATAAAATAAAATATTTAAAATGTGTTATGAAATTATATTAAAAAAAGATGTTTTATTGTGATGGAACCTCTTGTACTCCTGAGAAATTAAAATCTGTTTTAAAATTTGTTTTGTTTTAAGTCACCTTGAGTTTTACACATCTTGACTCTCTAAATGGGATTCAAGTTTAGCCAGAATATCTATGGTCAGTCAGAGAAGAAAAAGCTTCTCCTCACTGCCTCAGCGTTCCGCACCCCCTGCCCCCCCCCGACATGGCTGCAGACCCTTAAATAAGAGAGGTAGGTCTTCTCACCCAGGAGTGCCTGTTTTTGGCTGGAAGTTTGATAAGAGTTCATGTTTGACTTCCTGGTTATCCTGCCGGTCCAGAGCAGAGACAGATGAGACAATATGTTGGGTATTTGCAGGATCCAGGAAAAGGAGTCGGCAGTGGTGTGCCCCGTGATTGATGTCATTGATTGGAACACCTTCGAGTACCTGGGCAACTCTGGAGAGCCCCAGATCGGTGGCTTTGATTGGCGGCTGGTGTTCACCTGGCACGTGGTTCCCCAGCGGGAGCGGGATCTGATGCAGTCCCCCATCGATGTTATCAGGTTGTGTCTGCCTTCCTGGCACTCACCTTTCTGAATGCATCTCCTTACACCCAGCCAGCTTGGCAGGAAAGAAGGCCCATGGTTAGCTGTTGACGCCTCCCTTACTTCATTTTTATCCTCAGAACATTTGTTTATTAAATATCTTTGCTGCACAAATAGATATTACATTGGTATGTTTCAGATTTACCTTTTTTATTCTTGTGGTATTGAGGGTTGAACACTGGGCCTCACACATGTTAAGCAAGCACTTGCTACCCAGCTCTTGTTTTCTAATATTCTAAAAGCACAAGAGGCCTGGGGGTGGATGCTTACCTAGCATGAGTAAGGTCCTGGGTTCCACTCCCAGGACCTCATTTAAACAACAAACATGCACAAAAGCCCTGGGTTTTTTTCCCACCTCTGGGCCTTCATTAAATGCTAGAGGCCATTCCCTCCTCTTCTCCAGCCAACCTTCCCACAGACTTTACCTCCTCTATAAAACTTAGCCCTGGCCTCCGGCCCCCTGCCCCTGCCCTTGCCCCTGTTCCACAGGGCCCTGGGTAGCCTTTGCTAACGTGTGTCATACACAGGGCTCACTTATTGAGATGTCTGACGAGAGTGGGGTACATCTATGCCTCCAGGCCCAGCCTGGTGCAGGGCACAGAGCATGAGCTCAGGTATGCTCATGGATGGATAGATGTAGGCTCCAGGCAGGGAGGCAGTTCAGCCATCCTTGATGGCTTCCTGGCGTTTCCATTGAAATGTGGGTATCACTCTTTTCTAGGTCTCCAACAATGGCTGGGGGACTGTTTGCTGTGAGTAAGAGATATTTTGAATATCTGGGGTCTTATGATACAGGCATGGAAGTTTGGGGAGGAGAAAACCTCGAATTCTCCTTTAGGGTAAGTATTCTGCTCTTTGGATTCATTTTTTGTTCAGTTCATATTCCCTCTCCCCTCCCCGCCTTACATCCCATGTTGGCAATGAGTCCCGTGATTCTGTGTGATAGCCACATGCCTATCCTATTAACCTGCTTGACTTTTAACTGTTTTAAAAAATGTACTTTTAAAGACTTGGACTGGAAAGGACATCACAAGTCTCTGAGTTTCTCTCAGTCTCGAGAGGGGGGTGACTCAGTCACTCAGAGTTAGTGACAGAGCCTGGACTGAAGCAACAGAGCTGCTTCCTGACCCCATCTCATGGAGCCTCTGTCTGTCTAGCTGATTAGGAGGTAGCCTCTTTGTGTAACATGGTGCCTTTCAAACTGGAACCACTGGAAGACTGCAGGAACTGTGTTAAAAAGACAGGTTCATAGGCTCAGTGTAGAAAGTCAGACGTGATGGATTCAGGATGAGATTAGGAATTTGCTCTCTGTAGTGGCCTTGCTCCTGACTGCTAGTCACTGCCCTTGGAGCCCCTCTGAAAAAAAAAAAACTGGAAGATTGCAGGAACTGTGTTAAAAAGACAGGTTCATAGGCTCAGTGTAGAAAGTCAGACGTGATGGATTCAGGATGAGATTAGGAATTTGCCCTCTGTAGCGGCCTTGCTCCTGACTGCTAGTCACTGCCCTTGGAGCCCCTCTGAAAAAAAAAAAACCTGAGCTTCTGTGTTATTTCCCAGTCAATGGAATCAAACTATAGATTTTTAGCAATAATTATATAGTGACCTGCTGTCGTGAAAGTGGTTAATAAGGAAGAATTTAACCTCCTTTCCAACTCCAGCCTCACGCCCTACGTTATAAACACCAGATGCTGGGCTTGTTCATAGCATTCTTTGGAAAATGAGGCCCTGGATGACCCTGCCTGCTTATAATGGCCTTTCTGCCTCTTCCTAGGTGTCAGACTGCTCTGCCTCTTCTAGAAGTTTCCTCTCTCCCTTTCAAACCTCTCCTCTTCCTTGCTGCTTTCCTCTCTTCTGTGGCTAGGTGATCAGGTAATGACACCATGCCTGGCATGCTGAGGAGGTGGGTTGCCTGCGAGCTCTTCTGGCCCTCCAGAGTCAAACGTGGGGTTTATAGTGCATGGACTTTGGGGTTCTTGGCTCCCGTGCCTTGTCTGACTTGGGGTTGCTTTCTTGCTCTTCTCTGTGTGCCCTGTCATGTGCATGCTGGTAAGCGGCCTCCGTCTCCTTGGAGGTGAGCGTCTTGGCAGTGTCCCTCATGACCTCTGGGTACCACCTCCTGGCTGAGCTCTCTGTGGGCCAGCAACCACTCCTTGCTCACTGCGTGACCTCTCCTCTCCACCTCCTTTGCAGATCTGGCAGTGCGGTGGCACTCTGGAAACACACCCCTGCTCCCATGTGGGCCATGTGTTCCCGAAGCAAGCTCCCTACTCCCGCACCAAGGCCCTGGCCAACAGTATGCGTGCTGCTGAAGTGTGCATGGATGAATATAAAGAACTGTACTACTACCAAAACCCCTGGGCCCGTATGGTGAGTCCCCACCCACCTGCAATCTACCCACCTCGTCAGAACCAAGCTGCTGAGTCTGGTTTCTCTAGCAGTGGATCTCGTTCCAAGAAAGTGGAGTAACTGGGCTTTCGTGATCCAGTATGGGAACATCTATTCCTTCATTCATAGTAATACCCAGTTGATTCTCATTATCCACCGAGCCGTGTTTTATGAAACTGCTGCAAACCTGAATTAGTGAGTACCATGCCATTGCTCCTAGGGGACTATAGGGTTAGGTTCCTGTGAGACTCCAATTACAGCAGGTTTACCAGCCAGTGAGGATGGTGTTATGTGTGTTTCTGTTTCAAGACATTTTATTTAACATACATTGTTGATCCATCAGTAGTGACCTCATGGCCAAGGGCACCGTAACTCATGCCTACACAGTGCTTACCTAACATGTTTTCTCTCTAAGGCACACCACAGCCTTCTTTCATTTAGAAACACTAGATGGCACTTAGCACTGTGATTGGGGGCCAATTTAGATGGCCCGTAAAGTCACCAACACATTGAGAAAAGGTAAAAAGCATGGGGCTGGAGAGGTGATGGCTCAGAGGTTAAGAACACTGGTAACTCTTGCAGAGGACCTAGGTTTGGTTCCCAGCACTCATGTGGCAGCTAACACTCATCCATAACTCTAGTTCCAGGGCATCCTATATTCTCCTCTGGTCTCTGAGGGCATTGTAACACATACAAAAAATAATAAAAAAAACACACAAAAAAGAGTGAAAAACAAGACTCTCCCAGATCATGAAAAAGACTCATTAACAGTGTGAGCGCTAAAACAAGAATGCAGGGCAGGGCCTCTTTAGACTCCTGGGGTGTGAGGGTTGAATAACTTGAAGGGTTTTTTCGCAATGTCTGTGACATTGTGAAAATACCATGAGCAGTAATCTAGGGTTACAAATCAATTTTAGGAATTGGATGAATTTTCAAGTTCAGAACCAGAGAATAGCAAGGCTTGGCTGTACCAGCAGAGCCTCTCTGGGTTACATGTGGTGTCTTGTGTCATGTTGTGCCCATCATGGTGCGCCCATCATGACTGTCCTCTTTGAGGTAAGCTTGGTTGAGTCCACATGCTCAGGGTGTGAGATAAGCAGTTTGTTGTCTTAAGTTACCGCTCAGGTGCACCTGGCTTCTTAGCTGAAGGACTCATGTCGTTTCAGAAGCCTTTCTCTAGCTCCTTGAAATGTTCACAAACCCTGGACAAATTCTCCTATTGCTGTTCCCTATGGACTCCAGGCACACACTGGGCTGAGCCTCTGCACTCTGTGCTCAGGCCCTGTAAGAGAGAGCCTGCGTATCTCCTCAGGCACATAGCTTAGGGGCTGTTGTCTGCCTCAGAGCCTCATTCTGCCCCTGCACACCTATTGATCTCCCCTTTTTTCCTCTGCAAGGCTTTGGGCCCATGGCTTCTATATTAGCAAACTCTACACATCAGAGCTTTGTACACATGGGAGTTGCTGGGTGACACAAGAAAGCCTTGTTCCAAGCTTATCCCCTGGCCCTCAGTGGAAATCTCTTCTGAAGCTTTCTGGCAGCCCTGCAGGTAGCACCCAAATTCTCATTTTATAGATGAGAGACTTGAAACATTGAGAGAGATAGACTTAAGGAACCTGCCCAAGGCCTGGTAGCTGATGGGATGGCATCAGGCTTGGGGCCTGCATGCTTCAGGGAGCCTCTGGTCCAGCTCTGCTAAGCTCTTGGACTCATAGCCTGACTTCCTGCATGGCCCTGTGACTCAGGGACTCCATGGTCATTTGCTTTAACGTCCTCTATCTTGCCCATTGGGGCAGAGTTAAGCATGTGCTCCTCACTCCCACCCAATCTGGAACTTCCACTTGCTGTTCCCAAGGTGCCCCTCAGAACACACGAGGGGTGTTAAATGCACCTGTAGGCTGCTTGCCAAGGGCTGAGTGTGAAGGTGGGTTTTTGTTTGAAGCTGTGGCAGGTACAGTGATGCACTGAAGAAAGAACTGGGAAATGGCTGAATCAGAAAAGTTACCTGGACACTTACTATTATCCTTTCAATATTTTACTTGTTTGTTTTCAACAAGTTAACATGGTAGGTCAGGGACATTCATATCTCAGCCCTCCATGTTCTTGTGCCTGAATATTTGCTATAATACATGGAGACAAGCTTTACTTGGTTATTCAAAAGTTCTCCTGGGTTTTGCCAATGAAACCAAATTTCCACGAGCTTTCATACTGCAGTGCTGAGCTCGTACCATGGTCAAGTATACATTTGTACTTGACTGTATTGAGCAGCAAGTCTCACTCATGACTACCTCTGAGACCCGCGCCTGTGTTTGAGAGTGAATATTTGTTTACTGACAGTAACAGTGTCACCACCTAAGTCATGGTGAGGCTGCCATTCCTCTAGTTGTGTGTGAGGATGGCCTGTGGTCGCGGGTTCCATGATGGATGATGCACAGGTCTGGGGTGCTGATGCAGGTCTAGAGTTTGGCTCCCAGGCTCTGTCAGAAACTGCTTTGTCTCCTCCCCTCACATACCTAGTTGAACCTCCCTAGAGCTCAAGCCTCTGGGAAGGACCTGCGGTGTAACAGTCTCTTCTGCTCAGTGCAGGCCATAACACAGTGGCTGTTTGAGCCTTCTGTGTTTGGTACTCAGAACACCCTATGTAAAAGCTGTGAGCTGTTCATTATTGAGTGACCTCAGTGAAGACGGGTGTAGATAGGAAGTCTCAGGACCTGTTGGGATTGCCATTCTGTTTTCTCAGGAACCCTTTGGGGATGTGACAGAGAGGAAGATGCTCCGGGCCAACCTCCAATGTAAAGACTTCAAGTGGTTCCTGGAGACAGTATACCCCCCATTTCCACCCCTCCTACCTTACCATTCACTGTACTTTTCTCTCCCCTAGGGTATCTGGGCCTCAGGTCTAGAATGTTAGATCTGTAAAACAACTAGAAATTGCCAAGTGTAGGCTACTAGCTTTTTTTTTTCTTTTTTTTGGGACACGGTGTCCCTGTAGCTTCAGCTGGCCTGTAATTCACTATGTAGACCAGACTGGCTTCCATCTCACAGAGATCTGCCTGCCTCTGCCTCCCAAGTGCTGGGATTAAAGTGATGTACAACCATGCTTGTTTTGAGCTACTTTTAAAAAAAATTAATATTTATTTGCAGTGGGGGCACATGTGTGCCATGGTACGTGTGGGGATCAGAGAACAATTCTCAGGAGTGGGTTCTCTCCCACTACTGAATGGGGCCCAGGGATCAAAATCAGACCTGTGCGGGAGTGCTTCTACCCACTGCACCATCTCCCCAGCCCCTGAACTACTGTTTGGTGGGTGAAGAAATAAGGGTTTACTGGATGTTTCCATGCCTTAGTTTTTGCTAATATTTTATCACATTTCTTGAGTTTTAATGGCCTGACCAGTTAGTAATTCCAACTTGTCTCTTAGCATAGAGACAATGGGGAGGGCGGCAAAGGGCAGAAGAGTCACTCCTAGTCTTTTAGAAAACCTAAAAGAAACGTTTCTGGAATGAGGCCACCTTAGACTGCCTACTATGGTGACTGTTTTACTGTGGTCCCCTTCGTGTTGTTTTGACCTGGAGTGTTAACGTTCCATTCTGGAAGTTTTATCTAAACTGCAAAACAAAATGTTATTGTTCAGTGATATTTTAAATATGAAAACGTTCAAATGTACAGAAACATAGAGAATGGTATCAGTCCTGTCTCTGTAATTCCAGAACATTCGTCATGTTCCTCTTGCTTCCTGCCCCCATCCCACCCTTCATGCTTTTGTCTGTTGAAGAAGACCCCAGGTGTCATTTTGTTCACTCTCATGAGCTTGAATGTGTGCTATCTTGGACTCCCCAGACCATCACCACATCTCACTAAGTAACCACTAATCTCCTGGTGCTGTTATCGATGCAATCCTAATTTGCATTCCTCCAAGTTTTCAGATTTCTGTTTGGGTGGTTGGCAGATTCCAACAGGGACACACATTGTGTTGGGCTGTCACATCTTGCTTCCTAAGGCTTCCTTTTCTTTTCTTATTATTACTTTTACCTTGTCGAAAAAACAGGCTTAGTTGTCTATGGATTGTTTCACTTTTATACTCCTAGTTATTTGCCCCACTTTTTTTTTTTTTTTTTCCTTGGGAATAGGGTTAAAGGTTTGATTAGGG